TCCCTCTGGGTCCATGAGAGTGTCTTTCTGAGCTGTGCTGAGTATCAGATTTTGTTGTGGATTATCATGTTAACATAAGAAATTCAGAAACGTGGTTGTCTGTCTTACCAACAAAGGATTATTGTCACCTGCATTGTGTACAATGGAGACAAAATGTTGTTCGTTCAGTACTGTTATTCTCTTTTCCTCTTTGAATTAGTTGTGATCTAGAATTTACGTTTTCTTTCGACATGATATAAATGTTGATATTAAAAGTGTGTATGTACAGGCAGTCCTAGACTTGCAACATTTCAAGTTGTGTTTCACAATTGCAACATTTATAAATTGGCACCGTTTCAACTTGCTGATGTCAGTTTTGACTTTACAATGCTTGATCCGATGTGATGCCACACCAGCGAACAAGTTCTCTGTGTCACCCATCTGCTTGGAGAACATCTGTCCAAACTTCCTTGGAAACTTTCTTTAAGAAAGCAGACAAGGCTCCAGAAAAACCTGTAGCCAAGGCTCCTAAGAAGACTCCAGCCAAGAACCCTTCAAAAAGTCCAACCAAGAGCCTTTCAAAAAGTCCAGCAAAATCACTTCAAAGAAGTCCTTCCAAATCAATATGATTGCTACTTATGATATAAATACATTAATGTAGCTATATTACTCATCTATACTTGATCGAGTACACAATTTTGGGGTATATTTGGTGAACATAGGGTATCGGGCCTTGGTTCAGGAACCAATCCCCCATTTATAACATTGTTTCTTATGAGAAAATTGGTTCCGAGTTGCAATGTTTCGACTTTAGACACGGTTTTCAGGATTCAATTGTGTCATAAGTCCGAGGACTGCCTGTAGTCAGTAGGTTAGATCAGTGAAATGAAGTGTTATGTTGTAACCTCTTAAACTGGGGAGTGGTATTTATGCTGAACTCAGACTACAACGAGTTGCATGACAGTTGTTTGGACCAAAAGTAAATTGTGCATTTTCCTTACCAGAAAAGTAAGAATGGGAAAATCTGTAGCAGATTTAATTGAAATAAGCTAGATTAAGTACTTAAAGTAATCTTGTTAGGAATGCGCTATAGTTTAAAGGACTTTGTTTTCATAACTTCACCACTGTATAACTGAAAAGTTAAAATAGCTGACCAAACTGATTGATAGTTCTTGTTTTTTCACCTATAAAAGAGTAATTTAAAAAGCATTCTCATGAATAAATTAAACTAAGACATTGAGCCTTGCATTACATTGGAAATAGAGGGAAAACAAAGGCAGACTTATTTATTAAAATAGAAATTTACAGTAAGGCAGCTTAGTTCTAAGATTTTAAGAGCATTAAAAATAACTTTCTAATCAAGAGTAAGTTTTCCATTAACTCTTCAGGCACATAGTTCTTGTGTATCTTTTTCCAAAAATACCTAACTTGTAAACCCTTCCATCTGACTATCTCTTGAATACTCCAGCACCAACATCTCCTTTTTAGACATGATGATCAGTATACAGAATGGTAAAATACAGACGATGTTATACAGGAAACCCACAGACCAATATACATATCTGCACAGAACCAACAATCGCCCTAAACATACCAGGAAAGCTGTGATATACAGCCAAGCCCTTGGACACCACCAAATTTGCACTGAGGAGAACACCTGGGATTGCCACCTCACAAATATCTAAATGGTTTTTACTCAACAAGGACATTCTTCCAGAGAGAGAGATTGCATGTTTGAAAGAGCCACCCGGATACCACATGAAAAATTGCTGCAGTACAGAAGGAAAACCCCCATGAATTGCACACTACTGGTTATGACATATCACCTCTCCCTCAAACCTATATGGAAAACCCTCAAACAATTGCAACTCATATTAGGAGACCCAATTCTTAAAGAGATCTTCCCAGAACCACCTATCCTAGCCTTCAAACAAGCACCAAACTTCGCTAACCTCATCAGCAGAAGCAAACTTCCTATGGCCCAAAACACACTGAATGGATCCAGACCGTCTCATGACAAGAAATGCAAAACCTGCCAACATATCTCCACCACCCCCACAATTACTACACCCCACAATAGAGCCATTACCATTCCTGGATCTTACAGCTGCACCTCCAGAAATGTGGTCTGTCTCATGCAATGCACCAAATGCCCTGATAGAAAATACGTAGAAGAGACCAAACAAAAACTGCGGACCAGAATGAACACACGCTGGAAATGTGTTAAAGACAGGAATACCCAGTTACCTCACAACTAAGCCACTCCTTCTCCAATCTCTCCGTTCTAATTTAATCATCAAGGGGAATTTACAAAACACTTTTCACAGATGAGCCTATAAACTTTACTTCATCAACCTCGTAGGTACAAAAAATTATGGACTAAATTTAGACATTGGAATTATGACACATTATAACCTGCCTGACAGCTGACTCCCCAGGTACCTCTCCACTTTTTACCTGCTGCTTTCATTCTCCTTTCTAACCCCCCTCTTCCCCCCCCAACACCACCCTGCCTCTCACCCAGTAACTCCTCAATTTACATCTTCACTGGTTGCCTTTCTTGCATGCAGACAAGCCTCTGGCTTCTTTACTATTCATTCCATCCAGGAAGAGCACACACCAACAGCAGATGCTTCCTCAGCCTGATGAAGGGTGCTTGTACCCGAAAGCTTGCTAAAAAGAATTTTTCCAACTATTTGAATTGGTCTAATAAAAGATATCAGATTTACCCAAAGAACCTTGTCTGCCTATGTCCTTAGACCAGGGGTGTGGCCCGCCAGCTGAATGCAGCCCGCCAGGCCATTCTATCTGGCTCGCAAGGCCCCTAAAAAATTTAGAAAATTAATTTTTATCTGCCCCTGGCTGCCCGTCATGTATGTGGCCCTTGATGGCTTGCCAAAACTCAGTAAGCAGCCCTCCGTCTGAAATAACTGCCTGCCCCTGCCTTAGACCAACACAGCTACCACTTATGTCCCTGTAACTTGTAAATCAACATCCATGTACCACTCCCTGTCCTTCCTAACTGTGAAGTGCATTTTGCTCTGAAAAAACTTAGTAAGCATAAGAGAAAAATAGTAATAGAATGGAAATGAGTAACTTGTCCACTTAAGGCACAACATCACTTGAAGGTTCAGCCAGTTCTGGGTACCTGGCATAATCATGCCTGCTTGGAGCACAGTGGAGGTAGAAGGCATGAGATAATAGTGGTTTGTAACCCTCAGCATGTGGCAGCGGGTCTTAGTAAGGAGAGTCTGTAGGCTGATGCTGATATGCTTGGGGTGGGCAAAATGCGGCCCGTGGGCCGGATGCGGTCTGCCAGGCCATTCTATCTGGCCTGTGGGGCCCCTAAAAAAATTAGAAAATTAATATTTATCTGCCCCTGGCTGCCTGTCATGCAGCCCTCAATGGCTTGCCAAAACTCAGTAAGCGGCCCTCCGCCCGAAATAATTGCCCACCCCTGTGATATGCAGAGAGGAGACAACTATAGTAAGCTGCAGTAAGTGTGGACCCTCCCTATATGTGGGAAGTGTAGGACATCACAGCAAGATTTCACTGAGTGCACAATTAGTTTCTATTGTACATGGCATTTGTACATCCTGCCTGTGCATCTTCCATTGTGTTTGTGAACTTAGGCTTATTTGTTTGTTTTTTGCTCCAGCTACTTAACAGTCAATCCTTTTTCTGACTGGTATATTGACCCCCTTTATTGTGTCAAGAGAACAATAAGCACATGGTCTATTAGTAGGTAGCCCCTGTGCATTTCAGAAACCTTATACTCTCAAAGCTAATTGCTTTTCAGGGAACTATTTGCAAGTTTTGGAGTCCGTGATAAACTGCAGCAATAATTGCCTCACAAACATCGCTACACTAGCAAGAGCCTTGCTGGCACCATACTGGTTACCCACCAGCCTTTAGTGGTCTGTGGTAGCAAGACGGAAATAATAACCCACTTCTGGACTAGTACCATCTCCCTTTTCTTTATATCTTGTCACTGGTGAGCTGGGGTGAATTTTTCAAGAAAGCTTCATCAAAGTGGACTTCCTTACCTGAAAGTCCTGGATCCAGTGCTGGTCATTCTAGTTCTGCATGATGCCATGGACAGCTTTCTTGTATGTACCCACCTTGAGGTGATTTCTGGTTTTGCCTTCTATTCTTCTACTCCCCCACCTCCTCCCCCCTCATCTGAACACAAATATAGATGTAAGACTAAGAAACCATTAACAAAGAAAAGGAAATAAAAGTATGCAATGAGAAGGGTTTCTCTGTTTGGAGATGTTGGAGATAAAAGTACATATATAAATAATGACTTTCTTTTTTCTCTTAAGGACCCAGTGTGCCAATCAGATGAAAGAGCTGAAAGAACAATGTGAAGAAAGGATAGGTGAGATCACAAAAAAAGACAGTGAAGCACCACAGACTAAGGAACACAAAGACTTCACAGATAATTCCCCCAAAAATTTCCAGGTAAGACTGTGATTTAGTTTTATAAAAAAGTCAGTTGTATAGTTATGTCTGTCACCACCAGAAGTGCAGTAAAGATTCCCCCTATGGGTGCTGCTCCTTAATCCTGTCCTGTGTAAATTAAATAGAAATTTGGGGATTTAATAAAAAGGGAGAAAGAAAGAGTCTAGGGATGAGTTGTATCCATGGGACATGCAAGGCTTTTGCAGATGGGCAGGGCCTCAAAGTAGGTGTTGGCTTAAGGGTTACAGACCTATTGAACGCCTGCAGGGCTTCTTCTAGGGAATTTACTCTCCAGTCTCTGACCTCAGCCGTCATCTTCCTACAATGGGGACTCATGTCATTTTGTCTTAAGACCACAAGTTTTAAGACTGCAGTCCCCCTGTAGTTCACTGTAGTTATCCCTAGCAGGTCTGACCTTGGTGCAGCTTCTGCAGTGTTGTTTTCTCTTGAGAGCAGCCAGCTTTTACAGAGCTCCATACCATTTATTTTAGTACAAAATTATTACAGAGAAAGCAGTCCTCCAGCAATAAACTGTGCGCATGTTAAACTGACCAGGTGTCTCCATGAGGATCTGGTAGATACCAGTGCAGGTTTATTATGTTTCTGTTCCAGTCTCTATCTTTGTGTGCTCCTGCTCCCCATGCTTGTACAAAATCCTATGTTTAATCTGGACTCGCAGAATGCTAGGACTGGTACAGATTCTTCCTATGTGAGTTACTATCAACTGGTTTATTGCAAGGTCTGTGGGCAGCTAGATGGGTTGGCAAGGCCAGAAAATGTGGGAAATCACTGGGAAGAGGGAAGGTCAGTGATTACCTTAAAAATATTCTATTTGGTATGCAAGTACATTCCGTCTGACTAGGGAGTGTATAGAGTTGGACCGAAGGGTAATAGTTCGCCCTAACTTCCCATTTGGGAATTTGGTGGAGGGTGTAGATGAAGCGGGCAGTTTAATTATTGGCACTTCCCTCTTTCAAGTGTCTAGTGTGGATACTTGTTGCCTTGGGTGGGGTTTGTTTTTTTGTTAAACCAGAATTGGAAATGGAGTTTGAAGAGTGGAGCAGAGTGAATGTCTTGAAGAACTTGGTGAACAGGTTTGGGACTCTTAATGTGTGGTGCAGTGAAAAAAATGATCCCTTTTCAAAGGTCTTTGACCTCCCTCTGAAGGGAAGGTAGTGGGGTCCCCCACTGTCCACACCTGGCATGCCAGCATCTTACAAGTTGAGATTGCAGGTGTTTTTGGCAACCCCTGAAGCAGCCTCTTGAGTTAATTCATCTGTCAAAAATAGACTGCCTTAGATCAATGTTTCCAAAACTTTTTTGAAAGTGAAGGAGCCCCACGTTAGGCAAATAAAACTAGTTTTGGCCTCTCCCTGCCTTCACAAACCATTCTTGGCTGCAGACCTGGCATGTTACCAGGGCGGCCCTTGGGTAACTTGCCTTGCCACCGCACTATATCCCCAACAATTTACTTGTACCTCTGAGGCCCCTGGATGGGTGGGGTGGGTATCCTGCAACCTTGGAAGCACTATGTCAAAAAAAAATGCCCCAGGGGCATCTTCTAGGGCAGGAAGTGAGTCAGTTAGAATTGGGTGGAGTAGTTGTACAGGAGGTGAATTCAGCTTTGGCTTGTGATCTGTGTGCTAACAATGCTGCCTGTGGATTACAACTGTGTACTATTTCTGACTTCAGTGAAGAATTTAGTTCAAGTCAGTCTATTACTTGAATTGGTCTGTAGATTTGTCTTGTCAGGATTAAAATGAAAGATAAGTAGAGCACTGGGATAAATGTTTGGACTAATATCTTTGTGTCTCTATGCCCTAAGGTTAATAATCAGTTGCCAGCCTTTAACCAACTGGAGGTCCAGCAGAATGACCTGGAACAGCAGAAAACAGATGAACAAGAGAAGAGCAAAATTCCTGGAAGCTTATCTGGAGAAGTACCAAAATCAACACTTAATGTGAAAAACGCACTTGAAAATGATTCTCATAGAAATAAAGGTAAGATTAGCCAATTACCTCACTAATACTTTAATAACAACTGAAGAGGTAGTGCCTAATTAATTGAACCTTCTTGATCTGTTAAAATGCAAAAAGTTGCATATCAGATTAGTTTAGGCTACTTTGGAGTTTCATTAATCAGCCTTTTTTCTTTCTTATGGACATTGCAGCTGATGACTCTGAAGACTGTTTAATTAAAACACTTCCATTAGTTTGAGAATGTGTTGTAATAGGTGCATGCATACAAACAGTGTCAAGTTTGGTGGGTTTAAAATTGTACCCCTAATTTGCAATGGAAAAAGCCTTTTGTTTTCTGAAGCAAGCATTTGGCTTTAACAGTGTAAAAATGAGTTTGTATAGTAGTTGCAACTGCCATGGGACAAGTAGAAATTATGCTTTAAATTGAATTCAAGTTAATTAGCTTCTATACAAGGATTACTGGCTGAAGTGTAAGGGCCTGTCATACAGAACGTCAGACACGATGATCTCACAATCCCCTTTGGCTTTAAACCCTGAGAAACCACGAATGAATGGATGGTTGCTATTGTCACAGTCTCCCCTCAGTACAAATATTAGAAGTTCTAGAATACTAGGAATTTTAATTTGGGACACTGAGTTCTGCCTTTTTTGAGTTTGCGGCTTAACGATCCTCCCTACAAAAGGGAAAGAGTGACTAGGAGGAAACTATTTGTTGTAGCTTTTTAAAGGCTTTTAATTTTTCCTACTAATGAAACACATTCTGCTGACTCTGATTTACACTGGTTTACAGATGGGACAAATGATCTGGTTACCATCAGTAAGCAGGAGGTGAAAGCAGAAGGTGAGAAACTTTCCATTGATCAGGGACTCCCACAGGATTCAGCAAAGGCTACAGTAGATCATGAGGAACTACCTCCTGAACCAGGAAAAGAATCAAATCCATATGAAGAGGTAAAAAATGTAGCTGAAAACGGTGCAGAAGAACAGGAGTCATTCCGCGTGCAAAAACTGCAAGCCAGCCAGGCTACTAACGAACAAAACATTGCCAATGAGGAGGTGGAGAGGGAGCACTTCTTAAATTATGATGCTCAGCTGGATGACCAGGGGCCCAGTAAGGATGGTTAGTACAGAGGTTTACTCAAGCTACCTTGCTGCCAAGTGTCTGCAGCCATATCCATTTCCTTGTAGTAGGCTCGAAGTGTAACTTTCTTTCCTATGCAGAAATGAATTGCAACCATGCAGTGCTCTGCCACTTGGGAGAAGGGCTGGGAGGCAAGTTCCCTGCTTTCTTCACCCTGTGGGTGGAAGTTTGTTTCTGCTAATGAAGTCTTCGTTGATCATTGAATTCTGGAATAGTTTGCACCCAGGTCTTCACAAGGTCTACTTTTTTATGGGTCATTATCAGTTCACATTGTGGTTAGTTTTTGCCTTATAAGCACTTTGACTAATTAGCACATTGTCACCAGGTAGATTACTCTTAAGAGCAAATATAGCAGGATCTGATCACTTAAAACAGGGGTGTCATACTCATCGGTCCTGCAGGCTAAATGAGGGGTGTAGGGTGTGTGGCCTGGATTGGGCATACAGACCAGTCCCATGTGCGGGATCCAGCTCACAGGGCTGGTCCAGTGTGGATGCCTGATGCAACATATGCCCTGGTTTGGTTGTGTGTACTGTTTGCAATGTGCATACTGGCTCCAGCACCACACAACTCCTGCAGTACATGCTGGCCTTAGCCCTGCGTGGCATGTGGTGCGCACCAGAGCAGCTCTGCATGCTACACCTGGCAGTCAGGACTGGTCTATGGGCCTGATTTAGACTGGTCCAGGATCCAGCATGCAGAGCAGATTCGGTGTGGGTGCCGCATGCAGTGCACACCCTGTGTCATGTGCAGCCAGCCCCAGATGTGCAGTATGTCAAGCTAGCACCAATGTATACTGTGCCTGTGGTATGCTGCTCAAAGACTTACAGAAAGTACCAAGCCCAATGATAGGGCTTCATGGACCAGGTCTGGCCTGTGGGCTGTGCCTTTGGCACATCTGGATTAAAACATTTTGGAGAGGTGGATTATTTTTGTTTCTTTCAAAATATTTGCTGTTTCTAACAAGGTGAACAAGTACATCTTGAATTCCCTTCCTGCCTGGTGTGTGAGCCACTATGCTTTTGTTCACTGTTCAGTGCTGTTCCCTAGTCACTTAATTTAGTTTCTCCTATTTATAAATGTTCTTTGGCTTAGTGTAGACAGAGCTGTATAGTAACTAACACTTTAGATGCCACTCCATCCTCAAAAGGCAAACAGGCACATGCTGCATCATGTGTTGGCTGATTAAGTTCTAGCCATCTATCAGAAAAATTCTGTTGAAATAACAGAATCAAAAGCCTTCACATCTTAAAAGGTTGTTTGATTGTAAAGCTCAGCAGGGCTGAAAGGTGACCTCTTTATATACATGTGAGCAACCCTCTGTTAGGACCGCAGATTAATCACATACATGTCTGCCAGGGCTTCACTTCAGGGAAGTCTATGAGAAAGCTGTATGTTGGAGTCATCAGTTTTGCATGCACATGTTTCCAGGTGTTTTGCAGGCACCAGTTGCATTTTGGAAAAAAGCCACAAAAATATTTTATTATGATTCTTTCCACCTTTTACTGGCTTGTTTTAATCCTGTAGCACAAACTGAAAAGGATTTCTTCAGCTAGAGAACTGAGAACATAAAGAGGCTTTGGTTGGTAACTACTGTAGTATTTTAATTATTTAGCCCCAAAACATGCCCAAGGCATTTATCCTCTTGACACTCTGATGGCTAAGGGACTAGCATCGGATTCCCCTTTCCGTTGTTTCCTGTTGCCATTTCTCTACTTCAAGTATTCTGTGCTCTCTCTGGGAAAGTTCAAATTCAGAGTAGGGTAGGCTACTGAAATGGTAGACAGTAGCTTGGTACTAGCTTGGTATTGTCTCTTATGGGTTTACAGAATAGAGAGAAGTCCCACATGATATATTGGTTCAGTACGCTGGTGGGATGAGGTTGAGCCCTGTTTGTTTTCACAATGATCACGATTTTTATTCCTTTTAATATGTTTATTAAAACTCCTTGCTACGCATATAACACTGCTTAGCTTTAAGAAAAACCACAAACATTAAAAACACAATAACTACATATATTAGAAACAATGCTCCAAACATACTTCCTACCCAAACAATGCTATAAGAATTAGTATTACCAAAACAGATACAATCCTAGAATTCTGAGAAATCAAATCCCCAGATATACTTTCATTCTTTAGTTATGGTTTTAGGGGTGGTCTCAGCAATGATAGGAACAAGTCCCCTTCCTTTGGTCGTGCTCAGGTGCTCTGTGGCTTCAGCGTGAACGGGAGTTCTTGTTCATGGAGAGGGTGGTTCAGGTGATCAGTCTGATCCAGCCTACACTTGCTATTCCTCCTTCGGTGTTATGCAAATGAGGTTACCTCCAACTTGGGACTATAGGTTACAGGTTATATACTGGGTGAGTTGCCATCATGGGCCCCTCCTACCCAAACCTGTCACTACCCCCAAATTGGGCTCAGATCTTACTCAACAGATTTTTGCTGGGTGGTCAGTTTGTATTCTGCAACGGAATTTATCCGCTGACGTTTATCTTAAATTCTTGAGACTTTCCACAACGCTGCGGTGACTTATCTTTCCCAACCCCCTTTCACAAGCTTCTAGGGTTTGATCTCTCGGAACGTTTGCTTAAGGGTCGTTTTTCTTGTTCCTAGGTTAACTCTAAAGATAAGATTGAGAACCTAAGACTTTTAAACAAACTTGTTGCAGGGCCAGGCAAAGCAAGCAATGGCCTACATAAGAAGATGAACCTTGCCTTTTCTCTAAACTGGCTAAGGGGCAGTTATTACAAGAATTCAAACTATTACATTCAATATGACAGGCATCAAGGGTGGAGTATTAGAAACTTGCGTCCCAGCCCTACTGTCTTGGATGGTGGAGTGCATGCAGGTTGTGCAGCCAATCTCTTCAGGTCTCCATATTATTGTCTGCTATAGATATGCTGCTATTATGAGACCTCTAAAATGTCTGGCTTAGTCACTATAACTTCCTGAATAGAAGGTGTCACTCTCTGCAGCTTTTCTTTGCTTCCTCTTATTATTATGAGGGCTTAGGGTTGTGTTTTGGCATTGACTCTGCCAGCTGTAGCTGCTGGCTATCTTGTTACTGCATACAGCACTGTAAACCAGTAGTAAAGCAGTTGCCAGTTGGTGGCCCAGTTTTTGGCACTCAGGAGAATACTCTTATGTATGGAGGGCTGGAAGGTTTTGCCCTGTTGATTTCCTTGTTTGTAGTTGCTTGTGGCTGCAGAGGAATCTTGATCCCCTGAAGAAATAGCTTCAAATCAGGAGTTAGCTTAGTTTAAGATGAGCAATTGCTGTAGTTGGCACAAGGATGCTGAATGACTACCAGTAGGATCTTGATGGCAGATGTCTGTTGTGTAATGAATGAAAGCAAGGGACTGTCCCTCTGGGTAATCTCTGCTCTGAGATTTATAGGTTATGGGTATGGGTAATGCTTTAACTAGCATTGAACTATCTTACCAGCAGAACTTGATGAAATGGCTAACTGAATGCAGCTAGCCACCTTCTCTCAGGTTATAAAGTGGTTCTGCTTGAGCACAGAATTTCTGTTTCAGAGTATTACATCTGGGTATAGCCCCAAACTGGTTTTATCACCCCTGCTGAATGGTGCTAGAGCTCCAAGGGTAGGAAGACTTCAGTGCCTAACAAGAACAGGAGCCGGACTGTTTCTGAGTCTTTTTTTTCTGTGTTAGTAGAAATGATAAATATGGAAAAGAGAGCTTGCTGTATTACTTGGGCACTGCTAGATGCTGCCAAGTGAGAAGTCTGTGTTCTGGAGTCACTAAAAAAGTAAAAAATACAGATGTCCTCTGATATTTGTGGCCCTTGTATTATGTTAATCTACTGGTGGCTGGAAGATGGAAGACATTCACAGTGTACCTTGTAAGGCACTAGAGGCTAAAACTCTAAATTTAGACATGATACCTCAGGCCAGTCACTGGACATGTACAATGCCCCAGCACAATAACAGTGCCTAACCTAGATCCTTAAAGTTAAGTTTTCTTGTATTGGCCAGTAGATCTGCCCAGCCAATCAGCAGCTCTAACACTGTGGCATGGCCTGGCAAGGGCTGAACTTCCATGTGCTGTGCTCTGGGAGGGAAGAGGACCTGATGGTGGGGTGGGGTAGGAAGGGGCAGTGGGTGGGGTTGGCTTGGGAACTAAAGGGTATGTTGCAGCAAGGGAAGTTTAGGTTGGATACGAGGAAAAATGTTCTCACTAGGAGGGTAGTGAAACACTGGAACAAGCTACCCAGAGAGGTGGTGGAATCTCTGTTCTTGGAGGTTTTTAAGACCCGGCTAGACAAAGCCTGCCTGGGCTGAGATAGTTGGGGATGGTCCTGCTTTGAGCCGGGGGTTGGATTAGATG